TTCTATAATTATTTTTCAAGTTTGTTCCCCAAAATAGGAATTAGGTGCAGGTTGGTTCCCCAAAATGACGATTTTGAAAGTTGGTTCCCCAAAATAGGAATCAGGTGAAAGTTGGTTCCCCAAAATGACGATTTTGAAAGTTCGTTCCCCAAAATAGGAATCAGGTGAAAGTTGGTTCCCCAAAATGACGATTTTGAAAGTTCGTTCCCCAAAATAGGAATCATGTGAAAGTTTGTTCCATTTTGATGCAATTTTCCCTTTTTGTATTATCTATTTTTTACATAGTATCATAAATCCGTTCCACTGCCAAACGCATTCTATGATATACCTTTGGTGTATAGATTGACATCATTTGAGATCTCAATGTTGATTATTTAGAGTAACACTTTATATAAATCGGTTGAGTTTCCATGTCATATTATGTTAATGTTTTCATCACCATTTTAAACTTCTAGGGTTAAAACAAATTATTTGAAACCATCAATCTCAGAATCAAAAGTCCATCTTGGTTATAGTTGGAGATCTTATTGTTATTTTAGAGATATGATAGTACTTAAGATTCATGCACTCAATATTAGGTAATGAGGGAGTCAATATTGTATGAAAAAACAATAGTAGTTTTGAAATTCTAAATATAGATATAAGTTTGATCGTTTCATATTGTTAATATTTTTTTTTCAAAGAGCAGACATTTTCTTAATTAATAATAATAAATCTACTATATTCAAATATAAGAATAGAATTCTTGCGGTTGACGAGATGAATGATGGAGAATATATCAATGTTTTCTAGGTAAGGTAGTTTTAGATTTTAGTATTAGATAAAAAAAACTTAAAGAAACAATAAATTAACATTATAAAATGAACAATCAATTATTTTTTTTACATATTTTCTTCTCCAGTATAATTAATTAATACATGTTTGAACCCTTAATATAATGCAAAATTCTTTTTGAATCATATTAGATAGTAAAAACTTTGTATCTTTTATTTATTAATTTTTTAAAACTAGAAAAAAAATTGGCCTCCTGTTTTTTGTGGGCCCTGGACGTACATCCAGCCCGCCTTCCCCAACGACGACCCTATTTCCAAGGCTTTGCAAAGGAGAATGTAACAATTGACAAAACGAAGGATACAGATTTTATAAAATGTTATTATATTCAAAAATTTAGCAACACACGTTTCATGTGTAAGTCATTACTATAAATCACGAAAACCTCATTCAACCAATCATGATTTTTTTAATTACGGGGGTTGATTAGTCATTTGTATTGTGGATGGCTTAATTATGGACATTATCATCTTTATTTTATTAATTTTGGTAAACAAATTTCATCAGAATGAGAAATACATGAAAGAATTTAAGTTTTACATAGAAACAAAAATATATGAAACAATTTCATCAAAAAATGAGTTATTTGAAATAGTTTAATCATATTAAACAATTTCATGATTTTTTTTTTACTAAATTAAACAATGAAATCGACCGTTTTCACGATTTGTACTAATGTCTTGATTTGCATTTTGTCCCTCCCCTTCATGTCTATATTATTTAAAAACTACTTACATGTTTCATATTTGACCCGATTTTATTTGTTTATGGTTACTT